TTGGAGTTGAATGTGATAATAATAATTTAAATCTTTATCGGCGCTATTAACTTTTATCTTGGACAATTTTATTTTACTTCTAACATTCTTCACTGGCCCTACTAGGGATTAAAGCATTAATCCCAACACAACTCTCAATTTGTTCAAAAATCTTAAACCTGATGAATTTATTGAAATTTACTAAATAAATTTGTGAACATAAAGATGCAATACCCAACCTCAATTTTTTGAGAGCAAAATTAATAGTTTTTAGAAGATCACAAACCAAATTACTAAGAGATTGCTTGTTTTTGTTGAATGCAAAGTTACTTTTTTCATAGAAACGGACCTGCAGATCACAGCAACGCCAATACTGAAGCAGCAGCATCAGATCACGGTAATGCAAAGATGATCGAGAAGGGAAAAGAAGTGGTTTGAAGCCTATCTGCTGGTTTGTGCACTATGTTCGCCGGAGATGAGCGAAGGTGATCGATGATGGAGCTATAAAATCACAGCTTATCCTACTCACGATCTCACAAGAAAGAAAAGGGAAATAAGAAAAGATCTCTTGCAGATAGAGAGCGGCTGGAAGGGCTACCAGTCTTGGTCCAAAGAGAAGGGGCGGTGGCTGATAGATTAAGGGAGAGTTTAGGGTTCGATTTTGGTTTAGGGAAATGGGAGTGAAATGAAAGAGCTAACTTGTTTTTAAGTTATACTACTTGTTTCCCCAAAATGATGTGGTTTTGAACATCGGTAATTCGATTAACTCGGTTTAATTAATGATTAATTAAATTGTTAACCGAAAATTGAAATTATAAACTTTTTTAACTGAATTGAATTCGTTGATTTGGCGAAACCGAATGGTGTTATAATATCAAAATAAAAAATTTCAAGATCAATTTATATATTGGACCACTAACTGATTTTACATTAGAATTATTTAATTGAAGTGTCTTTTTCTTTTTTGAGATAATATTTAATTGAAGAGTTTGATTCTCGTACCTTTGAGCTTTGTGTTGATAATTAATGTTGCAGTTAGCGGCTATACAAATGGAAGTATCAATATCAACATTTTGTAGTTAAAATTTTGAAAAACATTTATTTATAAGCATGAAATTAGAATCTTATTTCACTTTGATGTAGTTCCCACGCACAGCACGCATGGAAGAAAGTAAAATATTTCTTGTACACTGTGAAATTTTTTTAGTACAGTGGTAACAAGAAATTTACTGTTATGATTACAAAAATTTTAAAAATAAAAAGTGGCTTGTCTTTTGCAGCAGAATTTATCGTACCAGTCAATGTCTCAAGGAAAACAAATCAATGAAGTCGCAGTTGGAGTGTAGTTCAGAAATGGCCAATGCATGAAGATAAAAATAATCTTTTCGTCAAATAAACAGAATTTTGTTGCTTTCTCCTCAATGTATCATTCCACCATCATCACTTCATTGATTCAAAATAGTTTGGACCGGAATAAAGTACAGAATATTTAAAAGTTTAAGGATTAGATTATAATTTTTTCAAGGAAAATTACCAAACATCAAATTATGATTAACACATCTCAGAATTAAGGACCTTATTTAAAAAAAAAAGCATGTTTGATTTGATACAGGCAGTGACGGATTTAGATTTTTTTTTTTTTCTATGGTCAACATTTTTCCTTTTTATCCAAACCTCCTAATTTTTCTTTTTTTGTTTTTTAGCAATAACAAAAAATAAAAGGGGACAACGAAAGGAAATTTGCGAAAACAAGGGATCAATTGAAAAACCATTTTTGTTAATACATTTGCCATTGGCATGAGAATGGATATAATTTATAACATAAAATCCTATTTCATTTTTTTTTATATATATAAATAACAATAAAAAAAGAATTCTCATGTAACTTACAAATTGAACAAAGTTAAACCCTTCTATAAACTGGGTAGTGGGTGTGACTTACCCCACCTCCATGTCCAGTTGTGGAGGTAGAATTCAAAGCTAATGGTTTTTAAAAAATAAAATCAAAAGTTACAAAGTAAAATTATAAAAATGAATTATTTTCGAAAGTAAAATTTAAAAAATTTTTTGGACCAGAGTAGCCACACCTGGCCAACTCCCTCAACCTCTGCCCACATCGAAAATGCCTTATCCCGAAAACCAACTTATCACTGCCTTCTACCCCATTTTCCCAATCTTTTGTAGACAGAGAGATGGAAGGAAAGAACTCGAATTCTTTTGTAGACAGAAAGAGCATTTGTGCAATTTAAAAGGGTTAAAAAAAAGTTAAAAACAATATAAGATTAGACTAAATATTTCTCTTTTTTTTTACCATTTTACTTTTTAGATTTTTAACTTTTAAATAAAGTAAAGTGTAATTTAAAAAAAAAAATTTAAGTAAAGTATATCATGTAGTAAAATATTATTGAGACTTTTAGAGATGTATAGAATAGACTAAGTAATTATCATTTTGAACATAAAAATAAACAAGTTTCGGTTCGAACCGGACCAGAACCGTTGGTTCAGGTTTAGATTTTAACATTCACGTAAATTTTAACCGGCCCTTGAACCGCAGGTTCTAGTCCGGTTTCGATTCATCTACGGTTCCGATTCAAAATAAACCAGTAGCCATGCCTAATTATACATATTAAATATTTCAATTTTCAAATTTATTTTATTAAACATTTCAACTTGTAAAATTAGATTAATCAAACACTCATGAAAAAGTTAAAATTTATGCAAATTATTATTCCAAGAGTCATAGTAATTATATATCAAGTCGATATTTTATAGATAAAATGCAAAAACCCTAAATTATTGATATTAGTGTTGAAGGTGTGTAATATTACAAAAACTTACAAATTCAAGTGCATGATAAGTTATTCGCAAAATTCAGAGTATCACATGGTTAAAGTTATAAAATTCAGAATTGAATTTATATATTCAGAGATGAATTTATATATTCAGTCTTTTTACCTCTAATGTTCGTCGCACTATTTCTCACTAATAATGTGAATTCTATTATTATATTCAATACATTGAAAAGCATGTTGGCTCGTATTATATTGCTTGAATAAATTAAACTTTTTCTAATATGCTTTATTATAATAAAATAAATTAATTTCGCTAAAAAACCGGTAGTGCATTGGCTCGAATTACAAGCAAGCTAACTATAGAGTTAATCGGTGAAATGTGGTATGAGTATAGACTTAATTTCTTCCCAACCACCATTATGATAATGGATCATAATATTATTAATATCCAATATTTATTTATATGATTCAAGCCGACCCTACATTAGCAAGCATGGAAACATTCGATGCACCCTAACACACATGACATGACCCCAAACATCCAAAGGCACCGCCCAAGAAGATGCTTCGTAGGGACAACATAAATAGCAAAAGCCCTAAATTAACAACAATTTTGCATTTTACATCTTGGATTTGTCCCTCCACTTGGAACCAGCCTGTCCAATTGCCTTTCTCATTTTCCACAAAAAGCTCCTACACAAGTGGCCATATAAGAGAGCATATATATTCTTTTGTTTCATTTTTAATCCCATTTTAATGGAGATTTGGTCAATATTATTGTAGTTTTTGAAAAAAGAAAAAAGAAAAAAGAGAGGAATGTCAGATTCCATGCTGTGTTAATAAAACTTTTTCACCATATATTTTTTTGATACTTTATCAAAGTAGTCTAATAAAGTATTGTTTAATTAGTAGCAATGTGCCAAGTTAAGTGCTTCTTTGTTAAGAAATTTTTGGCCAAATTTGTGCTTTTGAGTAATCATTTTCCTTTTCCTTGTTCTTTTTCTTTTTACATAATAGGGGCAAAATTCAAAATTTTGCCATGCATTTTTGATTTGGTTTTACCGTTAGAATATTATTATTGGAGTAAAATATACTTGAATCTCTAAATTACATCTTAATTAACACTTTTAGTGTTCTGTTTTCGGAAAAAAAAAAAATTATGATGTCCCTAACTTTTGTTTTAAACTCAATGTTAGATCCTTTTTAACAAAAATGGGATATGCGTTTCAAATGGATGCTCAATATATTATATATACCATGAGAATTATAGAAATGAAACGAGTAATCTCTCCCTTTATTTAAGAGGTCTTTCTAGTTTGCATGGTCCAAAATTAATCTTGAAAATTTCTAAAATAAAATTAAATAAGTCGCTAGTATAATTCCCGAAAAGCTAAATGTATAATGATTTTTACTGATAATCAATAAAATATTGAGACTTATAATAATAAGAATAAAAAATATTATTAATTCGCTCATTAAATTCTTAAATTTTTATCTGTTGATATTGATTTTTTTTTTGTTAAAATTAAGTTCTTATCTAATTGAGTTGGAGAGTGATAACCACACATGTTACACGTGCATTTACGTGAAACTCTTAAAATTTTAATTTTTTTTTAAATTAAGCCCCTAAATATTTAATTTTATTAGAGTTAAGCCTTATTCATTTATGTTACTTTAATTAGAGTTAAGCTTAATATTTACATAAATAAAAGTTGAAATACTGAGAAGAATTTAATCAACACTTAGGGATGGAAACGGGTGAGTATCTATAAATTTTAAACTATCTGTATCTGTATTCGTATCCGTTTAAAATTTTTATTATCCACATCCGTTTAAATATCCATTTAAGCATAGTATTCGAATCTGTTAAAATTTTTATTACCCATATCTATCCAATATCCGTTTAAAGTACCCTTATAAAGATAGAGTATCCGTTTAAATCCGAATTTTAAAATATATATTTTTTACTAATAATAGATAGTATATCTACAGGTACTCTCTGTCAAACCCGTTTAACATAACAGGTAAAAGGTAACGGGTACTTAGAAATCTATACTTGAACCCTACTTGTATCTGTTATGAATAGTAATTTCACTGATAGTAAAAGGTTAAACTCATTAAAGAAGGAGGTGCAAGGATATTGCCAATTTTATTTCAAAGTTTAAACCTCGATCAATTTTTAATTAAATTTTACATAAATTTGTTCTCAAATCCAACCAATCGAGTCAA